CTCCCAGGCCACGCCCCCTCGGGACCGCCCGCCGGGCTCGAGCAGGCCACGCCCACCTCCTCCAGCTGCGACCTGACCCCGCCCCCGGGTCTCCAGCCCCTCCCCTGGGCTGACTTCCTGGGGCCTCAAGTCGCGACCCCTGGGCCCCTGTCCCCTCCACCCGCCAGGCCCTCCCTGAGCATGGGGGCCCGCTGCCGTCTCACCGCAGAGGAAGAAGATAACACTGGTAGTCTGGCCCCGCAAGTCGCTGTCGTGGCACAGGATCCGCAGCCCCATCACCAAGCCCACGAGGCTGGAGCCCGCCGCCAGCACCATGCACGCCCCTGTCGCCGCCAGCACCGCTGGGGAGAGCCGGCCGCCTCAGCCCCGCGCTGGCGCCGCCCCCGGCCCCCGCCCCCACCCTCCCGCCCGGGGCTGGGAGCGGAGTCGGGGTGTGAACGGGGCCTTGGAGGTTGTCAGAAGGGGTTGTTATGCTCGTGGTGGCCTCGGTCACCGAAGGGCCGCTGGATCTGAGACTGGAGGGGGCGGGGCAGGCGGGGGCGCTGCAGGATGTGTCCAGTTGTGTCAGGCGAGGGAGCCAGCTGCGGTCAGTGCCGGGGCTGGCAGTGCGGCGGGGGCGGGGCCTCACTCTGGCAGGGGATGTTGGGGCAGATGCCGCCTTTACACTCCTGCCACAGGCCACTGTGGCCCCCGGGGAAGCGGATCCAGTAGTTGGTGGCAGTGGAGAGAATCGTGAGGACATTGGCCAGGAAGCCCAGCAGGACGCCCCCGCTCTGAAGGCTCCGCTTCACCCCCATGCCAGGGAGGCCGCTGCGGGGGCGGGGGCGGAGGAGGGGTGCGGGGCACACAGGCTGTATTGGCCAACATCCCTCCCGCCCCCCAAGCCCCTCTCCCCGTTCCTTCAGGTCCGCAAGAGCCATGTCGCTCCACGTCCCAGCGCCCCTGCCTGAGGCCCTGCTTCTGAAGACCTGGAGATGCCCCTCCCTCAGTTCCTCCCAGGCTGCGGGCCCCTCCTCCAGCCTCCTGCCTGGGCACTTTGAGACCCTCCCTCGCCGGAGCTGCTGCTTAGGGACCCCTCAGTATTCCAGAGACCTGCATCCCCCAGCGGAATGGCCCTTACGCCTGCCAGTCCCCTCCACCCACCACACACACCCACCTCAGTGACTCACAGCCAGCTCCCAGGGCTTCTTAGGTGCAGAGCCCAGAGGGGTGGGGGAAGGGAGACCGAGTGTCTGTGAGGCAACAGGAGTTCCAGAACCCTCTCCCAGTTGCCCCTTAAAGAGATAACCACACACACGCGCGCGCGCGCACACGCGCACACACACGCACACGCACGCACACACACACAGGCAGCTCTCCTAGCAAAGCGACAGCTCAGACTCAGATGGCAGGTCTGAGGGAGGCCCGAGGGCCATGACACCTTCTAGAAACTTCTCTTCCCTTGACCCCTTAAGCGCTCCTGGTCCGTAGCTCTGGCTGTGCCTCCCAGGCCCCCCACGGGCCCCCGCTCCCTCTACTTCTCAGCTCCAGTCTTCCTAGCGGCTCCATCCGGCACCTTCTCCCAGGTGGGCTTCCTCAGCCCCGCAGTCCAGCGGCCACGATGCTGGGATAGCTCCCGACACTCTGTCTCCAGCCCAGGTGTCTCTCCCAAGCCTCGGCCTGCAGGGCTCGTCTGCTCCTGGCCGCCTCCCAGAGCCTCTGGCACCCAGCCACCTCTCACATGAGCTCAGTCCCCGGAGCGCTGTCCCTGCCGCTTCCTGCCCCTCACCCCACGAAGGCCTTGGCTCGCCGAGTCCCGGTTCCTCCACTCTCTCTGGCTCCGTCGCACCTTCCCGTCTTACGCCCGGGTCCCAGCCGGGCCTTGTCCTGCCTCGCGTCCCACCTGTTGCGCGTCCCACCTGTTGCGTTGCCAAGCTGCTCTCTCCCTTTGGTCCTCCCCCGAATGACCAGAGGGCTCTCTGGCTCCTGGAGCTGACACTACCCCTGCCCTACTCACGCCCTGGCTCCCCATTCAAGGAAGAGCCAGCTGTGGTGCGAGGGGTCCTGGCTCCCGCCCGCCTCTCCATCCTCATTTTCCACCAGCCCCACGTCCTGCATCCCGGCCACAAAGCACCTTGATCCATCCAGGGAACACTTCCGGCCTTTACCTGCCTCCGCCTTGGGGTCCCTTTCCCTGCATTACTTTTCCTTGGCCCCGCAGAAGTCTCTACACGTCCTCTCCCCCCGGAAAGCTCACCTCCATCCCCCGCAACACCGTAGGCCTTTGTCCCGGGCCCTCCCTGGGCTCCTCCTGCCATCCCGCCTATGCCAGTGAGTGGCCTTCCCCCACCCGCCTTTCAGCCCTCGTTGGCAGGCCCTGGGTCCGACTCACGTCCGTGTCCCCAGATGCCCAGCAGACAGGACGCGCTCAGGAAAAGCCGGCGGACGGACCGAATGAATCAACGAAATGAGTGACGGCGAGGTGACGAGGTCAGAGGGAGCAAGTGGAGGGTGTTCGAGCAAGGCGGGGAAGAAGGGAAGGAAAGACAGAGAGAGACGCAAACGGGGAGCAAGACAGGGCCGGACAAGGGGAGCGGGGGCACGGGGCAGTGCCGCGCCCGCACGGGGCCCCGCGCCAGGCGGGAGCCCCCCAGACAGCACGTGGGGGGTCGGACTCTTCTGGGTACCCAGTGTCGCCTCCCCGGAGCTGGTGTGCCGGTGGCTTACGCTGCGATCGAATTAATCAGAATAACCCGATTCTAGTCCATTTTTATTGAAGGGATGAAGAGACAAATGAAGAGACTGCGAAAGGGCAGGGGCCGAGGGCCGAGGGCGGGCCGGGCGTCCGGTGGCTCTCGATGGCACCTTCGGAGAAGAAGGGGGCCTCACGCCCACTCGGCTGTCCTCGCCCACGTCTCACAGGGCGTCGTAGCCAGGCCGGGGGCCGGAGCAGTGAGCGCCCAGACTCAGGCCACCTGCAGTGGCGGGCGGAGGGTTAGCGCTCGCCCTTCCCGTGTCCTCCCAGAGCCTCGGCTGGCCCTCCCAAGCTCCCGGGGCGCCCGTCACCTGCACTGAGCAAGAGGGGGATCGAAACCCAGCCCAGGAAGAAGGACCAGGCGAAGAAGGTCTGGATCTGGGGGTTACGAGGCTGGCTCCACCGCTCGCTGGTGTAGACCGCCATGGCCACCATCAAGGAGAAGGCTAGGGACAATGACAAGAGGACCCGCTCAGCCCCTCCGAAGTCGCTCCCGGCTCCCGTATGGGGCCCACGGGCAGTCCGAACACCTTACCTGCAGCAAAGGCGACGATGGATGCGACCAGGGGCCCGCGGCCGGGGGCAGACAGCGAGGGCACGCAGGACAGGACCAGTAGGCCCATGGACACCAGGCCACACAGGGCAGCCAGGATGCCGAAGATCTGTGTCACGTAGATGTAGCCTGTTCCAAGACAAGAGCTCTGGGGGCCTGTCCCCTCCAGCAATGTCCCCACGGGAGAGCCCCACCTGCTTACCTGCGGGGTGCTCATCTCCCTTCGTCGGCCAGATGCCAGAGTGAGAGGAAGACGTGGGCCCCATGGCCACGAACCAAAAATTCGTGCTCAGGGCAACCACGACACACATCAGGCCCAGGGAGCCAGCCAGCAGTGCCAGGGACCGACAGGGCTCCATGGGGACGGGGGGAGCACTGGGCTTCCGGGTCCTGGGAGACGAAGATGCTGGCGATCCAGACTCCTGGGTCTCCGAGGGAGGAGGAGGAGGCTGTGCACCTGGACTCCTGGGTCCTCTGAGCTCGAGAAAAGGCAGCCAGCAGGCGGGAGAGACGGCGGGACGGCCCGCGCTGCTGAAGACAAGGCCACTTCTGTCTCCCCCGGCTCAGTTCCCGGCAACCCACCCTTGTCACACACACCCTCCCTTCCTGGCTCGCACCGATAAAGTCTCCCCTCCCCGAGGTCCCGGTTCCCCTCACGCTGTGTGGTGGCAAAGGGTGACACATTATCATCGGTGGTTTGGTCTCTCTGTCTCAGCTTCTGCACCTCCCGCCCTCGGAGCCATCCACACCAGAGGGGGCTTCCCGGAAGAGGTGAGAGAGAAGCTTGGGGGCTCAGAGGTGGAGGTGGCAAACGAGGCCAGGGTGTGAGTTAAATGAGAGGGGAGGATGTGGCCAGAGGGGACAGTTGGGGGACGTGTCATGTTTTCCTGTGGGTTTTGCAACCTTCCGTTCTGGGAGGGGGGGCACTCTAGGGGGGCCACAAAAGGAGGGGGCTGGAGGCCAGGATGCCCGGGGCCGAGGGAGGAAGGGGCGGCCGGGCAGGCAAGGGGATCAGACTCCCGAATCCCGGCTTGGAGCTCATGCTCCATGACAGGCAAAAATGGAGAATCACAGTTCTGAAAATCCGTGAAGGGTAAGACACGCCCACATCCTCATGTGATCAGTGCAGAGACAGCTCCGTTTCCAGCGGCTGGCTTCCTTCCCAGGACCATGGTGCCTGGCGGGGGGGGCCCAGGGACGTCAGCGCAGGACCCCCCCAGCCCTCCGAGCACAGGCCTCCTCCCCCTACATCGACATCAGGTCCTGGGCGGCACCTCACCTGGGAGCAGGTATAAGGTGAAGGTGCCACAGCTCAAGCAGAAGGCCCACGCAAACTTGACCTCTGCAGAGCTGGAATGGCCCCAGAGAGGACCTCTGCCGTGAAGACAGACTGAGCCAGCAGTCTCAGGACATCTGGAGAAGAGGGGGACCAGTGACCCAGGAGGCCGGTCCTCTTCCTTTGTGGGAGACTCCAGTTTGTAGGCCCCTAGCCCTCTCCCGGACCCTCGCCAGTGAGGTAACTGGCCACTCCTGAGAACATGATCACAAGGACAGCCTCCCAGAGGCGGATCCAGGTGATGAGGAGTGGGGACACAGTGGCTGTAGACATGGCTCTGGCAAGAAGCAGCCAGACAGGCTTCGGGAAGTCTGGGCCGTTGGGCGTCTGGGGAGGGGAGAACCAGAGCGCAGAGCCCATCTGTGATCTTGACCCCGTCCCACATCCAACCCCAGCCTGAACCCCATCCCTATCCTGCAGCCCAACCCCGTTCTCATTTCCAAACCCAGCTCTCAGCTCCACCCCATCCATAATCCCCGCTCCAACTCAATCCCTAAAACCAACTCTCAATTCAAAACCATCTCCAACCCCAAACCCACCCCAATCCCTAATTTAACCCCATCCTCATCCTCCAGCCTAACCCCATTCTTATTCGCAAACCCAACCCCAAACTCAACTCCACCCCCACCCCAAAGCCAATCCCATCGTCATCCTGGCTCTTAACAACCCTATCTTCATTCCCAGCCCCGTACCTGGATCATATTCCCAATCCCGGCCCCAGCCCAGCCCAGCCCCACGTCTACTTCCTAATTCATACTTCTCCCCAACCTCTAGAATTCCTGCCTCAACCCTGCCCCATTCCACCTTCATCCCACTTTCCAGGTTCGAGGCTGTGAACCTGTTTCTCATCTTCCTACGTCTTATCATAACCACCACTGACCGAAGAAAGATTCAATGGCCTGGCTTCTGCGAGGGAACCTTTAAGCCCGTGGAATGTCCTGCCTGATATGTGTCTGTGTTTACCTGGAGTCCTTGAGCCACACCAGATAGTTTATGCTACCAGTGTAGTTTGCGCGGGTGAGGGGGCGTTGGGGTGCACTATATCAGCTTGACCCCCGGAGAGACTGGAGACTGAATAACTCAGGTCAGCCACGTGGGTGCTCCATGCCTACGCAAGTGACCTTCAATAAAAACTCTGGACACCAGGGTTTGGGTGAGCTTCTCCGACGGGCAGTAGTCCGTGCGAGTCGTCACACGTCCGTCGTTCGTTGTTGGGAGAAGTAAGTGCTGTTCCGAGACTCCCCTGGGAGGGACAGTGGAAGCTGGTACCTGGTCTCCCTGGAAGCCGCCCACCGAGGCTCATCCCTTTGCTGATTTTCAACGGTGTCCTTTAGCTGTAAGGTAACTGTGAGTGTAACAGTTTTCCTAAACTCTCTGAGTCCTTCTAGCAGCTCATCGAACCCGAGGGTGGTCTTGAGGACCCCTGCAGCGAGGGAGAGGGACTAAGCCAGAGAGTGAGTGGGGGCATTTTCGGATGCGGGATGTGACTGAAACGAAGCTGAGGAGAACCCCGACGTTTGCGGCTTGAGTGGCTGGATAAAAATGGACGTGTCGTTTACTCGGATGGGGGGAGGTCGTGGGAGGAGCGGAGGTGTGAAGACTGAAAATCCTCTTCGAGTTGGAGGGCTGAGTCTGGAGTTATAACGGCATTATCATCGCTAGAGTAAGCCCTGTAAATACGATTATTTCTACTTAAAGGAGCCTCGGTGAAGTATTATTAGAGAAGGCCTCCATTGTCACTGTTAATACCAGAAGCCTCTATAAATATAGTATTCTTGTTATTTGAGGAGGCCCCAATAAACATTATTTATAGGGAATAAGCCTCTATTAATATAACAATTACTAGCATAGCCTGTAAAAAAAAAAATGCTTAGCATTAGAATTGGCCTTGCTAAACGGTGTTATTGTTTGACGATTGGCATCAGTGAATCTCACGGCGGTCAACATCGGTTTGTTGAATGAACTAAGCACCAGCGGATGAAGAGAAGGTCAAGGCCATGAGCGGTGTGTGAAGACGCAGTTGTAGGGGGTGAAGGGCCCTGAGTTCTGCTGTTTGTAGTGGGAGGGGCCCATCGGGGAAGGGAGAGGAGGGGGGAGAGCCAGCTGGAGATGGGGCGAGGCTGGTGGGCTGGGAAGCTGTCTCTTCACAGACCCTTTCACGTATCCTATTACCGTACCATAATATTGTGATTCATAATGAGAATTTCCTAAGTGACAAGCACCATGAGAGTGTCTTTTGCTACGGGGATGAGGTGACTTTTGGACCCCCACCTAAGGATGTGGGGGATGGTTTCCAGTGGAGCGGACCCTGTGATTAGAGGGTTGGAACTTCCAGTCTCGTCCCCTGACCTCCAGGGAGGAGAGAGGAGCTGGAGGCCAAGTTCAATCACCAGGGGGCAAGGATTTAATCAATCTCGCCGATATGATGAAGCCTCCGTAAAACCCCAAAAGATGGGGTTCGGAGAGTTCTGGGTTGGAGATCCAGGGAGAGGGCCCCCCTGGAGAGGGTCCCACGCCTGGCCCACACCTGGCCCCGTGCAACTCTTCCGTTGGCTGCCGCTGAGTTATACCCTCTCGTCACTCACTGGTGGTTGGGTAAGTACCGTGTTTCTCCGAGTTCTGTGAGCTCCTCTAGCAAATTAATGGAACCTGAGGAGGAGTGTCTGATGCACGGCTGGTTGGGCAGAAGCACAGGTGACAGCCTGGACTAGGAGCTGGCATCGGAAGCCGGGGGCGGTCTTGTCGGACCCAGCCCTTCCCCTGTGGGATCTGAGGCTATCGCCAGGTAGGTAATGTCAGAATCGAGTTCATTCTGGGTGGCATGGGGAGGGTGGAGAATACACATCCGAACTGGTGTCAGAATTGGACTCACGCCACGGTTTCCTAGACATCAAATTGTCCCCTGGGCGGGGCCGTGTGATTGATCTCGGTCTCCATGCCTACAGAAACCGCAGGCGGGGCCTCCGTAACGCCCCGCACCCCATCCGCCGCACGCACCCCAGCTCCTCAGGGCCACAGAGTAGTACTTCCACATCAGTTTTATTAGACTCCAAAAAAAAAAAAAAAAACCTTCTAATGGATATTCCGTTTCTCAAACAACCCCTCCTGGTGGAGGGAGGGCCTCAGGCCTTCTCAGCTCCCTCCCACCAGGCCCCGTTCTTCCTCTCCTGGTGGGACTCAGGAGTCAAGGGCCCCCACCCAGAGTCCAGGCCTGAGCCCCCTCATGCCCCCAGGAACCAGGATTTCAGGCCCCAGACCCTCCCCTCCTCTTCAGCGACCTCGTTTTAACTTCCAGTTGAAGCTGGTGGATACAGTTGGGCTCAGCGGGGCGTGGACAGGCGCCGACATTCGTGCATCCGGTAGGCACACATGTAGAAGATTCCTGTGTGGGGAAAGGTCTCAGGGGACACCCCCAAACCCCCGCCCCAGCATTCCCTCTCTCCCTGGGCATCCTGAGGGCCTGGAGTCTGCCATCCAGCTTCGTGCTGGGGGCCCGTGTGGGACACCTCACCGTCTCACCCTCTGGAGTGCTGCCCGCTCTGCCCCAGACACTGCCCTTTCCACCCCCAAAGCCCCCCGTACCTGCAAAGAAGGTCATGAGCAGGGCCACCCAGCCCAGGATGTAAGACCAAGAAAAGCGCCAGTCCCCGAAGCGGCGACCCAGGAAGCTGACGGTGACTCCAGTGTAAATGGCCAAGGCCAGCAGGACAAAAAAGGCTGGGGAGAAGAGGGTGTGGGTGGGAACAGGGATGGGTTGGGCGCAAGATCGAGGAACGGAGTGTGGTGGGGTGGGCGAGGTGGGGATAAGGGTGGAGTGTGGTGGGGTGGGTGGGGTGGGGATAAGGGTGAGGACAGGGGTTCAGTCGAAAATGGGAGCGAAGACAGATGGGAATGGGGTGGGTGTGGGACAGGGGTGTGCTGTGTCATAAAGAATCTGACTGGTCTCTGTCTCTGGTTCCCGGAAGGATGACTCTAAATCCTTGGCATTTCTCGACTTATGGGAGTGGCTTTGCTATTCCTGAGCCTCCGGGATCACGCCTGTTGTTGAGCTGAGATGGCTCGGAATGGAAGCTGGTCATCGGAAAGACCAACCAGCAAAACAGAGAGTTGAGACGCCAGCTGCTTTGGGGAGGGGAGCAGGGCCGGAGATTGAGTTCCATCGCTGTGGCCACCGAGTCAATCACGAAACTCCAATAAAGATGCCGGATGCTGGAGCACGCTGGTGCGTCCTGATTGGTCAACGTGCGTGGGGAGGGTGATGGTGCCCCCCAGGCTTCTCCCTCTGCATCTGTTTATGTGGTTGGTCTTGAGTGGACCCTTTACAACAAAACTGTAAGTATAAGCAGAGTGCTTTCCTGAGTTTTGCGAGTCATTGCAGCAAAATTTTCCAAAGCGAATGGGTCCTGGGAACCCTCGAATTTGTAGCCAGTCGATCAAACGTGCAGGTGACCTGGTGGACCCTCCTTGCAGCTGAAGCAGACACAGTCTTGTTGGGAACCGTGCCCTGAAACCTGTGGCATCTGCGGTGCTGGAGTAGGTGGAATTAGAAATTGGAGCTGGCGCTGGGCATCGGTCGGGATTCGGGTGGGGGTGGAGTTGACAGTAAGGCGGGGAGGCAGTCATGACAGAGTGGTGTTGCAGGCGGGGATGGACTGGGCTTGCAGACAGGCAGGGAGTAAGGGGGGGCTAGGGGCAGGGGCGTCCACTCACTAGAGGCGAAGAACATGATGCCGGCAGAGAAAGGCCGGGAGAGGCGGGTGAAGGTGGGCTGCTGAGCGAAGGCCAGGATGCCCACGATGATGCCGGACGTGGCACACAGGGAGGACAGGATCATGAAGGCGCGGGTGGCATTCCAGTAGGCTGTGGGAGCAGCCCACGGTCACGCCCGTGCTTCCCCGTCCTCAGCGGTGAGCACTGCTACCTCTGAGGGCCGGAATGCCTCGCCCTCTCTCCACGACCCCGACCTACCTCCAACCTCGCCTCCCTGCAATGCCCTCCTCTTCCCCTGGCAAACTCCATTCACCTCCCCAAAGCCCAGCCCCCAAACCCCGTCCTCTAAAAAGCTCCCTCCTCCCCTCAGTCATCATCTTCACCCTCCCACTGGGTTATGACTCTGTCTCCCCCTTCAGCCTGATGGCTCCCCAAAGACAGGCACTAGGTCGATTCTACACCACGAATACTCCCAGCATGGGTTCGGTTAGCACACAGCCCTGCAGAAATGCTTGTTGGATGGATGGATGGATGGATGGATGGATGAATGAATGCTGATTGTCCATATTTTCCTGCTAATCATTCTTTATCCTCTCTCTTTGCTCTGTATTTTTTCCTTCCCACCACTCACCTACACCCGAAAATGCCCGTTCATTTGTTTTTAACTTGTTTATGATGTCTGTCTCTCCACTGAACTTGTCCCCTCCGTGAGGACAAATGTCTCGTTTTTTTCCTTCGCTGCTATATCCCCAGCACATAATAGCTGCTCAATAAATATGGTGAATGAATGGATGTCAAGTACCGGGAATTCTGTCTTTCCATAAAATGCATATTGTGTACTATATTATATCTCTATGTATCTCTAGTATGCTATATAATATGTATTATATACACGCTATTCATATACAATGTAGGTACCTAC